TCAGGTGTAGGGTCTGGTGTCGAGTCTCTCTTGAAAGGAAGGAATGGGTCAGGTGTAGGTTCTGGTGTCGAGTCTCTCTTGAAGGGAAGGAATGTGTCATCTGTAGGGTCTGGTGTCGAGTCTTTTTTGAAGGGAAGGAATGGCCTATCTAAAAGATGAAGTAGGGCCGATTCTTTTTTAAAAGCCAAGATTGTATTCTGTCTGATGGTCCGTTTCAATGACGTCCTATTCAAAAAAGAACTATATTAATCAGGACTACATTATGCATTTGACGTCGTTGTTGCAATCATGGATGACCTTTAGAAAAAGGATTTAGTCTTGGTTTCTTTCGTTAAGTCAACCAACATAGCGGCTAAGTATTTGGACCTTTTTCCCCTCAAGAAAATGGATAATGATGATGATGATAATAATAATAATGATGATGATGATGATGATGATGATAATAATAATAGTCATAGTCATAAGGGGACTATGGAGGCTTTGAACCATCACGTGTCGGCGCCAATAATACAGCTTGGGATGCCTGTGGTTAGATGGCAGAACAATAGAATACCTTTGCTCTCTGGAATTGAATTCTTTCTCATGTAAAACGATTGTATTGTACATTCCTGGCATTGTTTTTGACATGGCTGCAGACAAGTGATGCTACAAAGCCTCTTTAGGATGTATGTTTTCGTGCAAGTGAGAATGCAACACACCCCCACCCCCCCTAACGAATCCCTTCCCTAACAAACTAGCTAGTCTCCTTAAGTTGCTGACACGCGGTGCAACATTGCATGCAACATTGCGCGCAACTGGACTGTTGCAGCGTGTCTACCCCAAACTTGTTGCACGCAACGCAACAAATCTGAAGTTGAATCGCGCTCTACTCCCTTGCAATATTGCGCGCAACAAATTTTATCATGTGGGCATGGCTGCAACAATACCTGCAATATTTTGAAATTAGCACCCAATCAGCTTGCACCAAATTTATAACTGCTGATCAAATATCTTAACATAGCAGGCTGACACAAGCGATGTTGCGTGATTTTGTTGCAATGTGTGTCACCCCGATTCGAATTTGTTGCTTGCAATGTTGCGTTCAATGTTGCATCGTGTATCAGCACCTTTACTAACCTTGCGGGACGTCCCTCAGTTATAGGATGGTTCAATATCATCAGCGCCAGAAATAAGGAAATCCAGTGCAACATGGTGAAGTTGTTTAAATGCGTTACTTAAATTAACGGAGCGGTAAATCTGAGGGGAAAAAAAAACAACAAAAAACAGAGAATTTTTTTAATCGTTTTCAAATGATTAAATTACCGCTGTGTTCCTTGATTACACTCATTTACTCAGGGTTAGCCTCGAATCAGTGTCACAAATACCAACGGTAAAGTAAAGAATGCACAACTTCAACAATACAAACACTTTGAAATTTCACGGGCCTTCACTGGAACACGTGAATA